CACACTGACGGAGGCCAGGGAACAGAAACGGAAAGCGGTGCTTCATGGATAACAAACAGAGCACTCTGGTTCTCAGTTCGTCTTTTGCTAGTTAGGTGGCCTTGGACAAATGATCGCTGCCTCAGTTTCCTAAATCTGTAAGACTAGGATTCTAACTTATACCAATGGGTTGTTATGAAAAATTATGTTAGCTATTTATTATTGTACCTACCCTTTCCACCATGACGCGAACAAGGGGAAAGTGAGAGAACATGAATGAGAATTTTAAGTCAGGTAAGTCACCAGCTGGGCTGCTTGCTGGGGGCTGTTAGTTCCATTCTGAGGGCCGGAGGGCAACGCTGAGGCTGCTTGCAGGACACTGCCGCTTACAAAGAAGTCCAGAGGAGAGGCAGGGAGTGGAGAAATAAAGGAGTGGCTAATAAAAGGCTAAAGGAGAAAGTAGAGAAGTTGTAGTCTTAGCTTAAATGCAAGAAATCAGAGCCCCTTTTCACACTGATGGCACGAAGTTACCCAGAGAAGGCACAGGGATGGAAAGAGCGCCTGGGGCAGTGGCTGGGCCTGGGGGCTCGGACTAGCTGGGGAAAGGAAAGATGCAGAAGCGCAGGAGAAAACAGCTGGTGGGATGGAGATGGGATTGCTGGCATGGTGGAAGGAAGCAGCTGTGTTCTTGTGCAATGGCGTCTATTTCCTTTGTACAATAGGGTGGATATATGCAGAAGGCAAGGAGAAGCTCTAGAACTAGGAGGAAGACCTGACCACGAGTTGAGAACATGGGACAGCAGAAAGGGCGCTGCTGAGGTTGGAGACCTGAGGATGAGGTAGCACCAACCTGCAAGGCAGTCAGTTTTTACTAGCAACACTCAGCAGTCTACAAGGGCAGAGAAGACAGGACATTGCGCCAGGGTGGATGTGACCAAAAGCCAACAGGGCAAAAAGTTCATGATGCTAGCAAGAAAGCTGCTGAAGCCCAGTGTCTGTGCTGGATAAGAAAAGGCACGAGAACGCAAAAGACTGGGAAAGAGAAGAAAATAAAAGCTTGGGATTACAACCCAAGATAAAGGAGAAGAACCAACTACATAGAAGAACAGAAAACTATGGCCAAGAATGGACAATGTGTGAAAATGACTATGTGTGATAGAGTGAGTCCAGGCGATGGCAAGGGCGAGGGGAGTGGTTTCAGGAAACACAGGCAGCGCAGCGGTGGCGGACAGACTCAAGTGCTGTAGACTGAAGGCAAAGATAATAAGAGATTACAGTTTGGGATGAGAGCTTTACACTTAGGACAATAACCAAACAGGGCTAGGAAAATGTTCAAGGGAGTGTTGTGGAATGAAACAACAAAGGTCTGGCCTTCTTAGAAAATATTTTCATCTAAATTTGGCAAGGGTTTAATGTGGATGCTGTACTATTAATGTCAGGCTATCGACTTGTGTGCTGGACCCAGCAGCTGGGGCGTCAGGTAGAATCAGGATCAAGAAGGTGCTCTTACGAGACTGCATGCTTAAAGGCATCATAGGCACCGTATCCGGGCCTCCTGTACTTGTCATCAAAGACCCAGGCAGTCCTCTGGAACAGGCTCTCCAGCTGCTCGTCCTTGGTGTATTCTAACACCTCCGCCACGTGACGAAGGATGCTGTAAACCTAGAAACAAAACGAATGGGGCAACCTATCAGGGATGCTTACTTATTACAGCATTTCAAGGAGATTCATTTCTACAACCCCAGGTGACAATGGTTCTTAAAGCCACTGAGAAATAGTCCAAGCATAGTTATGAAGAGTACTGAATGCTCCACTTTCACTTAAAAAAACAAATCATATATTGCTGTGGTTTCAGATCATAAGATTACCTAAGATAAGAGAATTCTAAAAACGGGTATTTTTATATGTTAGTGGAAAGAAACCTTCTGGGTGATTTCACTATCTATCCCTCAACAATGAAGTATCGCCAAAGCAAAATACTTGCTTTCCCAAAATGACAGCTTCAGGGGATAACAAACAGAAATAGTGTTCTCAATTTGAACCCCGGGCCTGGGTCAAATCCTGACTTTTAAGACAAATTAACCTTTGGAATGTGAGTCTCATCTAAAAATAGTTACTAGTATCCTCCTTTATCACAGACAGCCCTTGCATAGTTCAAATACATAAAGAACATATTACAAATGGAAAACTATTGAGCAAACTATTGTCTTGTTCCATATGAGCACAGAACTAGAATGGAGATTTTTCCTATTCGTTTCACTGTTATTTAACAATTATTCTTCAATCTCTTCACCCAATTGCCACTAAGCTCTCTTCCTAACCTAACAACAGGAAAAGGGGTTAGAGAAGAGAAAGCGCCGTGTGGTTTTGTCAGTCACTCGAAGCGGGGGAAAAGCACTGCAATGTAGTCAACGTTTAACGTGACTCTTCCAGCCAAGTGACCCTCGGTTTCCTGATGGGCTTGGGTGGAAAGGTGGAGGGAAGACACTGACTGGATTCTATGACTAGGCTAGAAGCGACCTCTCACTACTAGCAAGAGCCAGGAGTGGAGCACGTCCTCTGGACCCTGAGATTCCTGCAGTGACCCTTCCTGACCCAGGAAACAGCTTTGACACCCCTGAGCAGTGACAGAAGTACGCAGCAGAGGCTGGCTTTTGGAGTGAGGCTCCTCTGGACATTTAATTGGGGGAACTGGATTTGGTGGCATAATGGTTACACATTGGGCTGCGATTCACAATCTGAATTTCAAAACCACCAGCTGCTTCACAAGACAAAGACAGGGCTTTCTACTCTCGGAACAGTCCCGGAAACGCACAGGTAGGAGCTGAGGTTTATTGGAGTGGGAGGCCTCTATGTATTTCATTAGGGGAGCTGGGTTTGCTGGACCTGAGAGCCTTCATTTTAGGGCGAGGTTACCGTCACGGGGTGGCATGCCCTTGGGGCACTTATTAGCTGCCTTCAAACAACTATGTAACATCCTGACTGAACAACTGTTATCCGGCGCATTTCTCACCTGAATTGTAACTTGTTAACTCCCACAATCGTGGGAATGGTCTACGAATTGTGTGGCCGTTGCCATGAACTATAGAGCCCAGCAGAAAAGCATAGAGCGGGTGAAAAACAAGAGTGCGATCTGAGACCAAACAAATACTAATGCTGGGAATTTAATTTTTAAGTCTTCATTCCTGATGTAGGGCCCACTAACAGTCAATCTGACATCCCCTGAAGACAAAACCAAATGAGAGCTTCCTAAAGCAGCACTTCTCATTCTTGGTGGGGCTGAGAGGCAGCAATTCTAGGAAGCAGCCAGGTGAGGCCGATGTTCCTGGTTCAGAGACTATATTCTAAGTAGCAAGCATTTGGAAAATGATTTTAAAGGAATTTTGCTAACCACAGGTGTAGTCAACAAGCCAGCTAGAGGGGGAAAGTGAGGGATTTAATGGTCTGATGTCTTTAGATCTTAATTCTGTTTTAGTAGGTCTCCGCATGATTCCCTAAACTTCAAAAAAACCCACCAGAGAAGGGTAGAGAAAACAATGGGATTAGTGCTCTTGGCCAGGACGGACACACACAGATGGCCACACCAGACAGTAACTGATTCGGACACGGCCCACTTACAGTTTTGGATTTGGTGAATTTGTCTTCACATTTGATTGCTTCCTCTGGAGAAACTCTTCTTTTTGACAAATCAATGTATCCTGTCACAAAAAATTGGAAAACATTAGAACCTTTCATGACTGGCTTGGCCAATTTCCTACAATTACTACTCACTAAAATCACAGCAAAAAATAAGTTAAAGAGATTTTCACTGGTTTTCAGAAACCTTTATAAGTAATTGATATTACATGATATAGTATCAAGTAATTGATTATTACAGATTCTTTTAGTAAAGAGAATAAATATTTTACAATGATCTGAATGAAAGGTAGTCAAATTCTCTCCCTGTGCTTTGCAGAATAGGAATGCACTCTGATCTAGTTGAAGGGCTCAAAACACCTGAAACAAATTAGAACTACCTTCTATCGACTAGCAAGGAGCCATGGTGTTGGATAAGCACTGTACTACTAACCCGAAGGTTGACAGTTCAAACCCACCAGCCACTCTGTGGGACACAGATGAGGCCGTCACTGCTTCCATGAAGCTTCACAGGCCTGGAAAACCTAG